AGATCAGGCCCCTCAGCATCTTATACTTGCTGGGTACCAATGAGCAAGCCACTTCATCTCTTGGGACCTTGATTGCTCACCTGTAAAATGGGCACAATAGAGTCTTCAATAGATGGTATGAATAAGGTAGGCCTAGCACTTGGTCAAGTTTAAAGTACCCCTAGAAGGGTAAGGACTCTTGGGTCCTCAGTGGGGCAGACAAACAGAGGGTTCGTGAATTTCACAGTCTGCTTAGCCACGTGCCCGGGCAGCCTCTGCATACCCAGGCAACGTGACCTTTTTTGGCAGGTAGAACTGGTGTGTGTGCTCTGGTGGCCTAGAGGCAATCAGCAAGGTCTAGCAGAATGAAAGGCAGCCATAGGCCAGGGGCGAAGGTTAACGCAATGTACCCACAAGCGGAGAAACCTGGGGAAAGTGGGAAGAGGTAGGGAAGGAGCATTTGCTGACACCCTCAGCCCTTAGAGGGAGCCTGGCTCTGTCCCACTGCACTTACATTCCAGCTTTCTGTTCTGCAGGAGAACAGATTTTTGTCATTGCAATCCACCTGCTTTGTGCTACTTTGTTACAACCTGCAGTACTTCATTGCCATTGGATAGATTGGATGAAGGAATAAGAAATGAAAGTGAGCGCATGCACTATAAAAACTTTGGGGGGGAGGGGGGAAGGGGGGGAAGGAGAAGGATTGGGATTGGGGGGAGGGGGGAGGCTGGGAAGGGATGTGAAGGGTAAACAAAGGAGGAGGCTGCAATGCTTGGTAAGAAATGCACCCATTATCCTGCTCATGTAATTGTAACTCCTCTGTACAGTATGTTCACAAATAAAATAAAATTAAATTAAAAAAAAACTTTGGGGGTGGGGCAACTCAACTTAGTGTGGGGCCTGTGGAAGTGTTCACAGATGCAAACTTCTGTTCTTTGCGGGACCTGTTCTTGTTTTGTGTTGTGTTGTTTTGGTTTTTGAGTGCTGGTTGGTGGCTTAAAAGTCTCCACATTTCGACTTGACTCTATGTAGAAAACAACCAGCAAAACTGAAAGAAACCCGGACTGTTGGCACCGGCAGGGGAGCCATTGGCTGTACCTAAAACCAGGCAGAGTGGAGAAGCAACAGCGCAGGCTGACTGAGGGAATCAGCACCCATAAAAGTGAAACTACAACATGGCTGGCCAAACACATGTGGGCTTTCCTGGGTTCTGGGTTGCTGGTAGCGTCAGCACGGCCTTCACTTTCCTTGTTAGAGAAGAGCAGTGTTCGCCTCCTCTAGGTGGACCTGAGGGTGAGGATGGGGACCCACCCTCTGCTGGACACCTGTGACCCCAGACTCTTCTTCCCACCCTAACCCAGCTAAGCAAACAGGGCATGAAGCCAGTTTCGTGGGAGAGTGATTACACTCATTCTTCCTACTTGCTTCAAGCCTGGCCATGGTTCTCCATCCCACAGCCACTTAAGAATCTTCTAGAAAGTCTTTTCCAGGAAGATTTTTTTAGTAGCTCTCTGGCTGGCCTGTCCTCGCTGGCGAGTAGTAAAGGAGAACTCGGGGAAGATGAGGAGACAGTTTATTCAGAAGCCCTTTTGGTTCAGCTTTCTTTCTCCATGTGTCTATTCTTACTTTTCATGACTCATGGTGACAGAAATGGAAATTTCATTTGTTGAGCGAAATAATATGGAATGCATAGGTTAAAAGGAAATGTAACCCTGTATTTCATTGGAAACTTAAGCCAGGTGTGGTGGTACATACCTGTAATCATAGCACTCAGGAGGCAGAAACAGGCAGATCCAGAGTTGAGGCTAGCTTCGATTGCATAGTTTCAAAATAAGTAAATAAATAATAAAAAAATAAACATTTAAGCTGGGTACTGGTGGCTCACACCTGTAATCCTAGCAATTTGGGAGGCTGAGATCTGAGGGTCTCAGTTCAAAGCCAGCCTGGGCAAAGGAGTCTGAGACTTTGATCTCCAATTAATCTCAGAAAAAGCTAGAAGTGACACTGTATCTCAAATGGTGGATCACTAGCCTTGAGCAAAAGGAGCCCAGGAACAGTGCCCAGACCCAGAGTTCAAACCCCACAACCAGTAAAATAAATATAAATAAATAAATTTAAATGTTCCTTCATAGAGTAAGAAGATAAAAATAAAAGTTAAAAGATGTGTAATGAAAAGCAAGTGCTCTCTCCCACTTACAAGACAGCCAGCATCCTCAGGTCCCTGAGTCTTCTTCCAAAGAGACTAATTGGCCTTTGATCGCACACGGTAAGCATATACATGTGCATTTGCACCTACACATCTGCACACATCTCCCTCTTAGTGTAAACTGTGTGTAGTGTTTACTTTTTTCTTCTGTGTCAGTATTACAACTTGAACTTAGAGCTTGGATGTAGTCCTTTAGGCTTCTGTACTCCAGGCTGGCACTCTACCACTTGAACCACAACTCTACTTCTAGTATTTTGCTGGTTAATTGGAGTTAGGAGTCTCATGGACTTTGCTGTCCAGTCTGGCTCAACTCTCAGGCTTCCAAGTAGTTAGGATGGCAGACTTGAGCCACCGGCACCCAGCTTTACTTTTTTTCTTAATGTAATTTATACATTTTTCTATACCAAAACAAGATAATCTGCCTTTTGTTATTGATGATGGGGGTGGAGCTTAGGGCCCCACGCGTGCTAGGCATATGATCTACCCCTGAGCTACATCTGTAGCCCCTTTCTTTCTTTTGAACAGTTTCCTAGTATTTTACTTTGTGGCTTTTCTATCATTGACTTGACTATTGTTGGCACTTGGGTTACTTCCTGTCTCTTGTTCTTCTGAACAAAAGGATCTAATGAATATCTTCCAGGAAATATCAGTTTTCACAGGTGAGAGTAACTCTTTAGAAAAAGCATCCTAGAGCTGGGCATAGTGCTGCATGCCTATAATCCTAGCTCTCTAGAGGCTGAGGCAGGAGGATTCCAAATTCAAGGTCAACCTGGGTTACACAGTGAGATAGTGCCATCAAAAAGCAGGAGGAAGGGGCTGGGAAGGTGGCTCAGTGGTAGAGCACTTGCCTTGCATGCATGAGGCCCTGGGTTCGATTCCTCAGTACCACATAAGCAAAAAGAAAAAAGCCGGAAGTGGCGCTGTGGCTCAAGTGGTAGAGCGCTAGCCTTGAGCTGAAGAGCTGAGGGACAGTGCTCAGGCCCAGAGTTCAGGCCCCACGACCGGACCAAAAAAAAAAAAGAAAAGGCCATTTGTCAAAGACACCGTTGCTCTTAGCTTGGAAGCAGCCCCTGGATTCAACATAGGTTTTATTTATTGGTATTATTTTGGCAGTGCTGGCTGGATTGTGAAAAACAGTGTGTCTCAGTCACCCAGGCTGGGTTTGAGGATTTACCTGTACCCCCACATAATCCTCACCTTTCCCCGTCCCCCCAGTGCACAGCGTGGCTCTGCCCCTACCCCCTTAGTGTGGTCTTCTTCCTCCTCCTCTTCCTTCTCCTCCTCCTCCTCCTCTTCCTCCTCCTTCTCCTCCTCTTCTTCTTCTTCTTCTTCTTCTTCTTCTTCTTCTTCTTCTTCTTCTTCTTCTTCTTCTTCTTCTTCTTCTTCTTCTTCTTC